AGACGTTTGCTTTCCATCCCTAAAATTCCCTAAAAAAGTAACAGTTTCAGAACTTTCTCAGGCTGTGTTGAATCTGAAATAATGCTGATTTGGCAGCATCTCTGAATTAATTGTGGTCGTTTTGTTGGTTTCTAAATTCAGTTCCCGAAAGCATTACAAAATGAGATATTATAAATTGGCAGACCTCTCTTTCTCTCGTACTTCTGTCTGTCTCGCCCATTCTCCCGCTATTATACGCACGCATACACAAATTCGCTCAGCCTCTCCTCTCTCTTTTTCTCTCTCTCTACCTCCTACCTTTGGTGTGTTTTGCATGGCGCCTGGCTGTTTAGAGGCAGTATGCATATGTATGGGCGAGACGGTGGATCGTGACGGGATCTGACACGCGGGGACAAGATCAAAGCACTCCATCTGATCCCATAAAAACAGACGCAAACCCTCCTCTCATCCTTACAAAACCCCCACTGATAGTCAACTCTGCCAGCCCTGACTCCTCCATCTTCTCTCCTCTCCTCCTGCCTTATTTCTCTCTCTCTCTCTCTCTCTCTCTCTCTCTCTCTCTCTCTCTCTCTCGCTCTCTCTCTCTCTCTCATTTTTTTTTCCCCCTCCATCCCAGCATGCAGCGTGCCCACGTCAAGGCCCGCCTGCCTGCCCGACTTTGCGATTACGCCCTGTGATAAACAACGGCCCGTTTAGCTCATAAAGCAGGAGTGTTGTGCATAATGCTTACAATAAAAGATAGCATCTCTTCACTCATCTTATTTACCTCTCCCACGGTGGCACGGGCGACGGGCTGTTCTATATAAATACTGCAGGGGAGGGGGGGGGGGGAGGAGGGGAGGACATACAGATGCGGACATACATCTGTTAGTCAAATAAAGTCTCTGCCAAGTCGGTTGATGAGAACGGGAGGAAATCGGGTCTGTTTGAATCTGCATCTGAGCTTAGAGCCAGGTGATAAAGGCGCCATTTTAAAAGCTCCATCCTTCTTGGTAAGTGAGCTTAAAATGTCCTCTGAACCAGCATGGGATGACATCCATATCACATTTAGATTCATCTTTATGGAACATATAGATTGATATGGAAGCCAGAACACATTTTCCTCTCTATCTCCCTCTCTCCAGCCCCCCCCATCTTTAATTCCCTCTTTTCCCTCCCTCCCTCTCATTCTCCTTTACCCCCCCTTCTTCCAGTAAGGAAGATGTATGAGTTTGAATTATTGATTCAGACACATGCTACATGCTGCTTGGAGTCATTATTTGTTCAGGTGAGTGTCATGCTGCTCGCTATGAAACAGATACCACGGGGATTAAGCGACACAATCAGGACTTAAAGACAGCCGCCCTCCCTAAAATAACACGGCCCTCGCTGCAAGACGAATGCTCCCCAAAACCCGACTTCATTTGTTTATGACTCGCACATTAGTCATCTGTGTCTAAATTATAGCGCAGGGGTAAAGATTAATTCAGGCACGGGCTTTTTTTTCTATTGTTTTTACTCCGCCGAGTTTCTTGAGGCTGACTAACACAGCAGACGAATATACGTAGGTGCAAACATCCTACACACTGTAAAAATATATATATATATAAAAGTAACAAAACACAGCTTTTGTTGGATGCTAGGTGTCGGCATGAAGAGCAGACGGATAGCCAGACTTAAGAAAGAACACCATACATACACAGTAGTCACATTTTAGTACTCAAAAGAGGCTTTTGGCCCCGTACGACAGAAGGATGCTTGCCACACATGATAAACCAGGCCTTTGCATTTATTTGGATTGACACTGACTATCCAAATCTGAGCGGATTTTATGAGCAGAGGTTGGAAGGACGTGTTTGTCGAAAAGTTCAAATGGAGGGAAGCTCTGATGCAGGAGCCTTAAGAGAGAGGCGGGAGGTAAAATGTTGCTAACTGTTCATTTAGCCCTGGCTAAGTGGTCAGGGATGCTGGACAGGTGAACTTTATTCTCCCCACTGGCCCTGCGGGGTGTGGGTGTGTGTGTGTGTGTGTGTGTGTGTGTGTGTGTG